TTTAGGGTTTAGGGTTTTAGGGGTTTGGGGTTTTAGGGTTTTTGGGTTTTTGGGTTTAGTTTTTAGGGGTTTAGGGTTTTAGGGTTTAGGGGTTTAGGGTTTAGGGGTTGGGGTTTAGGGGTTTGGGTTTAGGGTTTAGGGTTTAGGGTTTAGGGTTTAGGGTTTAGGGTTTAGGGTTTAGGGTTTAGGGTTTAGGGTTTAGGGGTTTGGGTCTAGGAAGTTGGTGCGTTTAGGACTTTTTGCTGGTTTTGGGCAGTACAAGTAGGGCTTCGGGGGGTTTGGGGTTTTGGGGGTTTTCGGATTTAGGGCTTAGGCTAAACCCTAAATCCGAAAACCCCAAAACCCAAAACCCCCTAAGCACTACGGTTTAGGGTTTAGGGTTTAGGGTTTAGGGTTTAGGGTTTAGGGTTTAGGGTTTAGGGTTTAGGGTTTACAGCTTCGAGTATGAGTTGAAGGGACCAGGGCCTTCCTCAGGCTGATAGGTGGTGGGATGCCCCAGGCCGGCATAGACCGGATCGAGCCGCAGTCAAAACCCAAAACGGTTTAGGGTTTTGGGGTTTAGGGGTTTAGGGTTTAGGGTTTAGGGTTTGGGGTTTAGGGGTTTAGGGTTTAGGGTTTAGGGCTTTAGGACGCCAATGCACCAAACCCTGAATCAACCCTCGACCCGAATCACACTGTCCTTCGCTTCCACTCCATCCTGCATCATGGCATCGATGTCGGACAAAGACCTGTGCAGGTGGCAAGTCTTCGGGCTAATGAAACTTGGGATTTAGGGCTTAGGGCTTAGGATGCTCGGTTCGAGTTTAAGGTTTTGGGCTTTTGGTTTGGGGTTTAGGCACTTATCTGGTTTGCACATTCAAGTTCGGGGAAGGCTGTGGCGGCTTCAGCGCTGCACTTAGGGGAAGCAATATGAGTCAGTACCGCACCATTCTCGTTCTACATACCCCAGCATATCGGTGAAAAGATGTTGTCAGAGGTTCGCCGAGCGGCCACTTCATCTTCAGCAACATCTCCCGAACGTCGGGCGCATGCATCATCAGATCACTGCTGACCACGATCCTGGGGTCTTCCGCCTGCGAGTCGGTGCTATAGTCGCCTCGCAGCCACTGGAGTGGGTTGTGCTTGGGGAAGGAGATGCGACGTGGGTGGAGCTGCAGAAAGGTGACATCCGGCTCCCAGAAGACGAACAACGTCCGGTGAGCCGCCACCAGGTCATGTAGATCTTTCACGCTTCTCGTCACTCCCAAAGCAAGGGGCATCGTGTGGGCGACGGCTTTATCCATGACTTCGGCGACTCTGTAGGCAGATCTCCCGACCGTGGCTGTAAGGCAAGGAACGCAACTGCCATTGCCTGGATGATTGCGAAATGGGGCCTTCTTAACCCCTGGAGTGCTAGAGCCGCAAAGACCTAAGATTAGTGAACCGAAGCTTAAACTAAGGCTAAGAACCCGAGATCAGGAACCCCAGAAGAAAAGCGGTGCTTCTTTAAAATCGACTCAATGAAACCCGGCTCAAGCCGCCTTTGAATCGACAAGTCGGGGCTTTCCACCAGTTGTTCTCGCACAGCGCGGCCTGCACTGCTTGGGCTTTATAGGGATATAGGGTTTGGGAGAAGGGTTGATGGAAAGGTTTTACTTTTTTTTTGCGGGCCCTTTTCCAACTGCCAGGTTTTAGGGTTTAGGGTTTAGGGTTTAGGGCTCAGGCCTATGTGGGCTTTACAAGGGTGAAGGATTTTCGGATCTAGGGTTCGGGGGAAAAAAGGATGTCGGTGTAAGCTTTGGGTCCTGAATTGGCTTTCGGAGAATGTTGCCTTGGGGCCTCGAAAGGAAGTACATAATCTTGGATTTGTGCTGAAAGGTAGTAGAGTGTGCAACTTGTAGCCCTTCAACCCGAAACCCATTTAATCAGCTCAAGGATAACCCTAAACTCTAAACCCTAAACCCTAAACCCTGAACCCCTAAACCCTAAACCCTAAACCCTAAACCCTGAACCCTAAACCCTAAACCCTAAACCATAATATGGGAACCTGACAAAGAAGCTTGGGGTTCTTATTACTGCTCTGTTTTGGGGGGTCCTACTACTTTGGGGAGCATAGGCCCCGGGTTTCTTAACCAGGTTCCTACGTCACTGGGTTTAGGGTTTAGGGTTTAGGGTTTAGGGTTTAGGGTTTAGGGTTCTTGTAAAGGAATTTAATTCAAGTTACCATAGTAGGGGTCTATAGTAAAATAATATGGTTTCCTTATTCTTGTAGCTTAACCAGTGACCCTAAACCCAAACCCCCTAAACGCCTAAACGCCTAAACCCTAAACCCTAAACCCCTAAACCTCTAAACCCTAAACCCCTAAACCCCTAAACCCCCCAAACCCCTAAACCCTAAACCCTGTTTTTATGATCCGAAGGATTCCCCGCCCGGCCTGGCCGGGAGTTAGCCAATCCGCACACGGAACGAGCTGCGAGGAGTCGATGCTCTCCACGTCGTCGAAGAAGGACTGCGGTTGATGGTAGCGTGCGTCATAACTCCTGCGACTTATAGGGGCTTCTTCCAAGTTCTCGGGTCTTGCGAGAGGTATACTTTCAAGGGCAGGCATTGAAGATGAGAATGCGATCTCCACGAAAACGAAAATTATGGGAGCAGCCCTCCTGTAATCATCCAGGAGGGACCGGGATGTAGAAGACTCTGCAGATTGTAGAAGGGCCTCCGTCACATATATCCCAGCGCGAGTGAGATAGCCCATGCTCGCAAGGTTTTCCAGCAAGCCGCCCATCTGGAGCCGCTGAACCCGGTCGTACTCTGCCGATACATTCGAGCTGAAGGTAACCTCTTTTCCGACGCAACACGGGATCACAAAAAAGACGGCTCAGGGCCAATCAAGCCGGGGGATCACACGAAGGCACAAGCAAGCGAGTGGAAAGGAGTGTGAGTGAGTGAGAACGGCAGGAGCGAACGCAAGAGTGGCAACATCAGCGAGGGCGAGCGAACTCGCAAGCGGGCGAAAGAAAAATGGAGGAGAGAGGGTGGGCGACATCTTCTCAAGGAATCCTGTACACACCTCCATATATGTATACACAAATATCTATAGATATATATATATATATATGTGTGTGTGTGTGTACACATGATGATAACCAGCAATGCCATAACATGAAATCCAAATCAAAAACACCTGTGTGTACATCTATGAACGTCTGTGTATGTATATATATATATATATGTATGTGTACATATACGTATACATATACATATACATATACATATACAGATACATATAGTCATGTGTATGCACATACAGGGAGAGAGAGATCTTTATATATATATATATATACATACATACATGCAGCTACATGCACATACATTTACAGACACTCTTGCATGTACACGTACATATGTGTGTGTCCATGGATGTACCTATGTGAGTGCGCGAAAGTACACATAGGTTTCTTTCCTCGACTTTGTATCTAAAGCCTAAACCCTGAACTCCTAAACTCCTAAACCGCTCGAAGCAGCTCCGAAAGTGATGTGGAAGTTCGTCTGCCCATGGCAGCTCTCAGTATCGCTCGGGGAACAGCCTGCTAAGGTCCACAGCGCCTCCGCTGCAGTGCCTACGTCCTGAACGCTGGAGCCCACATGGTAACCTTGTCGGGGATTGAGGTGTTGAGGGTGTCTTTGGAGCTTTGGCAGTAGGATTTATGGCTGGGTATAGTCAGGGATTGGATGCTGCTGCTGCTGCTGCTGCTGCTGCTGCTGCTGCTGCTGCTGCTGCTGCCGCTGTTGGTGGTGGTGGTGGTGGTGGTGGTGGCGGTGCTGTTGCTGGTGCTGGTGCTGGTGTGCTGGCGTGCTGGCGTGCTGGTGTGCTGGTGTGCTGGTGTGCGGTGTGCTGGTGTGCTGGTGTGCTGGTGTGCTGGTGTGCTGGTGTGCTGGTGTGCTGGTGTGCTGGTGTGCTGGTGTGCTGGTGTGCTGGTGTGCTGGTGTGGGGTCCTATTGAGTTGTGAAGCTCTAGTGACTAGAAGCAACTCGTCGCGGAGAGCGACAGTGACAAGGCATGTGCCGCCCCGAAAAGTCGTGCAATTTCATGAACGCATCTGACTGGCACGGTGGTTTCGGCTCGAATATGCTTCACCAACACTGTTTGCTGGCACAAGCATGTGGTCATAGTTTGCATGCGGGGGCATGGCAAGTGAAGGGCACAGCAATGCAAGACGAAAGGCAGTGGACCAAGAACGGTCCACCCCAAGTAAAAAAAAAAACGACAATACCGATGACGACTTTAACAAACACAACAAAAGCACCAGTCAGTAGGTTTTGGTCATGGATGCTCCGCCCTTCCCAAATCGCAATAGACCATGGACACCATTAGGCTTTGGCCGTGAATGCTTTCTCGTCATCGAAACCGCCCCCATGTTAGACTTCCGCAGGAAAACCGATGTGCAAACACCCAAACGAACTCCGCGCTCTTCTGTCACGAACAAACGAACGCCAACGACGGCCGCAACCCCCCTTGACGACCTCGTGCCTGTTTGTGCCCGGCGAAGACAGCATTGAGCAGAAGCAGAAAATGTTGCAAATACCACAGTTGTCTGCCTTTTCGACAGCCAGCAACAACAGCACCAACGCCAACACGAACACCAACACCCCCACCAACACGAACGCCACCGCCACGACCACCACCGCCGCCGCCACGACCACCACCACGACCACGACCACGACCACGACCACCACGACCACGATCACGACACCGCCACCACGACCACGACACAACCACCGACACCGACACCACCAGAACACCGGCACACCGGCACACCAGCACACCAGCACACCAGCACGCCAGCGCACCAGCGCACCAGCACGCCAGCACGCCGGCACGCCGGCACGCCAGCACGCCAGCACGCCACAACACCAGCACACCATCACACCAGCACGCGACCCTATGGAGCCCTACAAAACCCCATACAGTACAGCCTTATGAAAACCAAAGCTCGCATAACTCCCAAAAGAACCACAGAGAAACCCAATAGAACCCTGAACAAATTCCTAAACCCTAAACCCTAAACCCTAAAAAGCTGCATACTTCCCTAAAAAAAAAGGGCTGCTTCGATGAGGCAAAGCAGCCAAGAATCTCCTCCGCCAGAATCTGAAAGATTGTGCTGGGCGTGTCGAGCTCCATCTTTGAACCATACAGGTTCCAGAGGCCTGAGGGTTTCGGTTTAGGGTTTAGG